TATAGTATATATATATATATATATATATATATATATATATATGTATATGTGTATCACATTCATAATATACAATTTTATATTTATTAAATATAATATATCTATATAAACGTAATATATATATATATATATAACAAACATGTATATTATACATATATATATATATATATATATATAACAAACTTAATTTACAAATTTATATGCAAGATTGATAGGTGGCTTGGAGAACCAGTAAGATGTTTAATTTTGCCGACAACATTATTTTTAACAAACAAAAAGGGATATCCAGTATTAAGTAAAGCACATCAAGCATTAGTGAAAAAATTTGCTGCATTGGAAGTACAATTTATTTTAACAGGCGCTTCACGTTATCAAAGTATTAGTTTTTATCATAATTATCTTGACTATTTATGGAAGGTAAAAATCTATAAAGTTTTATATAAAATTATCAAGAGATGAATACTTTTTCTTTATTATGTATGGAATTTAAAAAATGATATTTTTTATTCCTTTAGGGATGCCAAAATGATGGAACAGTAGAAAAATTTGCTCGTGGATATGAAGATTATTTGCAATGTCCATTACAACCTCTAATGGATAACCTCGAGTCTCAAACTTATGAAATCTTTGAAAAGGATTCCGTAAAGTATCGAGAATATCAAAGTGCTATATATGAAGCTATTAAAGCAATAATATCTAAGATGGATAAAGAGGAAGAAAGAACGATGTAAGTAAAGCTAAAATTTATAGATTATAAATGAAATATCTATCAAGAATGTATAACAATCGCGAATTTTTAGAGTTATTATGGTGGTTGGTGCTGGAAGAGGACCACTTGTAACTGCATCTCTAAATGCCGCTGAAATGGCCTATTGGAAAGTAAAAGTATATGCAGTGGAGAAGAATCCCAATGCCGTGATAACGTAAGAATTTTAAAATAATAATTATATTGAATTGAACAAGATCTCATATTTTTTCTGAGACTGAAAAAAGAAGTTTATTTCCTTTCTAAATCAATAATATTCTTATATCTATAGATGTACAAGTAGCTATAGTTAACTTTTATCAAGCGTAAAGTAATTTATGTACTCGATGAGTACAAATTAATAAGGCTATTTAAATTTGCAGAAAACAGAAAAAGTCTTATTAATATCTTATTTAATAAAGTTTTGATATTTTTATATACTTATTACTTTATATACTTTATTACTTATTTACTTTATTACTATATATTTATTACTTATTTACTTTATTACTATATATACTTTATTACTTATTACTTTATATACTTATATACTTTTATATATAAAAGTTATTTTTAAATTGTTTAAAATATTAAGATTTTTTTTGTTCAATTCCATATTTAGTTTTTATGTATATACGTACATAGCATATACATATACATGCACATATATATATATAAATAAAATTTTATTTCTATATTTACAGTTTACAGGCTCTTCAGAGAGACATGTGGAAAGAAAAAGTTACAGTCGTATCATGCGATATGAGGGAGTGGAATCCCCCGGAAAAAGCTGATATCATTGTTTCCGAATTACTCGGATCCTTTGGTGATAATGAATTGTCTCCAGAATGTCTAGATAATGTTCTTAAATTCCTAAAAGGTTTGCGTTATTCGCATATTACATAAATTGTATTAATAATAATTAATATTTTTTTAAACAATTTGTTTAAATTTTCATTAGATGACGGAATTAACATACCGCAATCATACACTTCATATATTGCTCCTATACAATCTTCTAAACTATACAATGAAGTAAGACAGCTTAGAGATAAAGATAAACATCCATTAGCTCATTTTGAAACTCCATATGTAGTACATTTTCAAAATAAATATGATATAGCAAATCCAAAGCCACTCTTTACATTTAAACATCCGAATACAGGTTTGTATAAAATATCCACCGCGATTATTTATAATTCAGTTATTTTAATCTTTTAACACATTTTTATTTTCTAGATGTTATTGACAATTCGAGGTACGAAACCAAAACTTTTCAAGTACATCAGAACTGCGTGTTACATGGATTTTCAGGATATTTCGCAACCATTTTATATGAAAATATCACATTAAGCATAGAACCTACCACATATAGCCCAGATATGTTCAGTTGGTTCCCAATCTTCTTTCCATTAAAGGTATACTTAAAATAAAAATTTCTTCATAAAATATACTTAAAATATTTTGATAAATAAAGCAAAATATTATCGACAAAATTTATCGACAGGAATCAATACAATTGAAGGCAGGAGATGAAATAGTGGTTCATTTTTGGCGTAGATGTAGTTCTAAGAAAGTATGGTATGAGTGGTGTCTCAGCAAACCTGTTCCAGTTTCAATACATAATTCAACTGGCCGTTCTTCTATTATTGGTTTATAACGTATTTATTCATTATTAATTATTTTTTATTCACTTGAGAACTTCCCGATAATGTAAGATGACGTCAATTAGATTAAATATTGATTACAGATATAGTTAAATTTTCTAAAAAATATCTAGACAGAGCATTATACATATCTGAGTAATATTTTTGCATTAATTTGATTTATAAAATTACATTAATAGCAAAGCTATCATTAGAATCCAAGTAAAATGATATAGAATTAATATGCATTTTTCTATTTACATAACGCAAAAAATGTTTTAGAAAAATTTATTTGTTTATGTGTCACATGCGTTTTAAAAGTATTGTATATTAACATTATTATTCATGCATTTCTTGTATATTTATGCAGTCACATCAAGTAATAAAGTCATTGTCAATGTAAAATGAAGATATATATCTCTATAGTTAGACTTGAATATTTTTCTTTGCAAAATTTTTCATATACTGATGATGGATCTTAATATGATGCTTGAGGTCACTGATATTCAATGAAGTCATTGATATGTTAGAGAATTTTGATAACATGTATTACAAAATGCTCTCGAAGCATGCTATTACTGTCCTTTTAAATTCATGTGATTTAAGCAACATTATCAAAATTCAATGTATTATAAGACTGATAGAACGAGGCAAACATCTCTATAATGATAATTTTGAACATATATATATTCTGTTTATATTATAATGAATGTGTTTTCCTCCAATTTGACAAATTTCATTCATTTTTTGTATATTTTTTATTCATTTAATAAGAGATATTGTAATCTTATCAAACCATTATGTTTATAAGCAAAACTATCTCATTGTATAAATAAAAAAAATATATCTATAGGTGTAAAAAATTTATTAAATTATTTATTTAATAAATATAATTAAATATTTAATATTAAAAATATTAAATATTAATCAATATAGATTGGAAAAAATTATTATTTATAACTTAAAATCTGTTTCCAAAGTATACAGAAATTTAGACTTTTTAATCTCAAATAAATTATAAATTATAAATAATATCTTCAATATGTATGAAGTGAAGATTATGCTAATTGTATATAAGAATATAATGTAAAATCAATTTTAATTTGTAAACTCTTATTGCAAAATGTACACTTAAAAGATTCAATATATAAAATCTAATTACAAAGTTAATGCAATAATTGCATTCATTTTAACAATAATTTGTAGATTGTATAATTCTTTGAGCTATTTTTATATTATTTAATCACTTTCAATTGGAATAAATTATATAATTTCAAAATTAAATTTGTTGATTTAACATGGAGAATCTATATTATATATTACTCCTTTTTTATGATTCATTTTAGAAAATTGCAAATTATATTTTTAGGATTCACGCAATGAAGATATTCTTAAAACTGTACTCCGCAAGTAACATATTGAAATGTTATTTGCTACTGATGATGCTGATTAACAGAAATATGAAACTAGCTGGCTTGCTCAAAGGTCGGAGGTCACTCGCTATTTGTGTTGTAATTGTCCTATTACAACACGTTTAGTACATCGACGTTTGATGTTTCAAAAAGAGCGAATTAAAACTTGAAAGGTGTTTATTTTCGATTTATTTCTCTCTGGTGAAGTTTCTTCAACATATACATACTCATTTACATTGATCCGCTTAGGTATTTAGAATACTCGGTTCGATTGAGTTTTCGAGTGATAGGAGAGATAGGAGAGGAATTGATAACGAAACAAAAACGTGCAGGGGGGGGAGGGGCCTCGTAATCACGCACGGTCTCGTCTCTCTCTCGTTATTCGGCCGGGGATCTGCTCCGTTTTGCTCGCGCTGCGAGTCACGAGTCGCGAGAGGGTTAGGCGATCTCGCGCATCGGTCTAATGGTGTGATCTCGCACGGGGATCATGGCAACAGACGGAAGGAAAATGGCAAGATTTATCATCCAGGGCAGCAGGTGCGCGATAAAAACGCTCATCTCGCACGGAGAGTCCGGCTCGCTCGCCGCGGCCGCGCCGAAGTTGAGAATCCCTTTCGTCGCGGCGCGATCCATAACCACAACTCGATGCTTGAGAGTTGGTAAGTACGTATTATATACATATGAGGTGAGGTCGGCCATTTGAGATCGCGTGCCGGCTCGGCATCATTTCGCTCGTTCACTTTTGAGAAAGGGTGCGAGCACGGCGTTTCCCAAAATTACGTGTAATACAAAAAAAAAGAAGATTATTTAGATTATTTAGTCCTCGATTATTTAAGTTTTAGTAACTCGTCAGTCGCGAGTTTTCTTCGCGAGTTTTTTCTTTTTTAATCTTCCGCAAAATCACAAAAAATTTTAAGAAGATTTTAAAATATTCAAAATGCAAATAAAAAGATTCCGATTTCATAAATGCAACCAAATTTCGACATTTCTATATTCAATCTTATGAATTTTTAAATGATATTTATAATGCTAAATTTGGCTATATTTATGAAATATCACGATCTTTTTATTTGCACTTTGAATATTTTAAAATCTTAAATATAACAATGAATATCGGTCGAAAACATTGAACATTAATTAATACATTATAAACAGTTCAAAATATAAAAACTTAAATTCATTACACATTATTGAAAAAAAAATACAATTACATTACCATTATGGTTACTAAAAAAAAATTACGTCATTACCAGTTCATTAAAAAAAATAACTGTAACAGCGTTACTTTTCAACTTTGGTTATCAGTAACAAGTTCTCTCCAGTTAAAACAACGCAGCTTCGACAGCTTCCGAAGTTTCAATTAATATAATCAACGATTAATTCGATTAATCGATAGAATTACTCAAAGCGAAACTTCTTTTAACAGAACGCGACCATTGGATTATATATTTATTTATTCATATTTATTTATTTATATTTCAAGGAATAGTCTAATTTCAATGAAATAATTTTCAACAAAACTGTAATCTATATCTCCTAAACTGTTGCGTTCAACATGTTACATCGTTGTTACAGCACTCGGGGCAGATAAGAAGATGTTATTTTTCTTTAATACGTTTATATTAGAAAACGTTTTCTTTTCACGACGCAGAACGTTTTTGGAGAAGGCATTCTCCATCGACGAAAATAATTATAAAATCCTTGTATTTCACTTTTTTTTTTTTAAATAGAGATTTATTGTTTCCTTTTATTGTATCACAAAAAATTCATCCGTTCTCATCAGAGAAATAAATTCAGAATTTACGATCTCAAAAATCTATGTAAAAACTTTTTAACTAACTTTAAACTATTTAACCCAAATTCGAAATTGAGCTAAAAATAAACTTTGAGTTACAAATCGATGCATCTAGAAGTAAATTATCTACATTAGAAATCACACTTATCCAAGTCCTTTCTTCCTCATTATTTCTCATTTCACAATTTCTCATTACTAAGAAATTTTCTTAGTTAAATCATGTAATTTGTGTAAATCTTTGATGATGCAACTTGGTTGAAATGAGCATTCTTGTTATCAAGTCAGTGGTTGTAAGATAAACACGTGATTTTTTTCAGAACGATGGTACACCGATAAGCACGAATGGATAACGATGGACAATAAAATCGGCACAGTTGGCATATCGGACTATGCGCAAGATGCACTCGGAGATGTGGTATACGCGCAACTTCCCGACGTAGGATCCACGATCAAAAAAGATGGTAATACTATTAAAATTCAGAAAAGCTTCAGAAATTCTTAGAAGCTTCTAGAAATACACACATAAACTAGGATGTTTCATTAAAAAAAAAGAAAAAAAATTAATCATCATTCTAATTTTGACAGCATTCGCAGATAGGTTTACGTTTATGTAATATTTTGTTACATATAAATATTATTTACAGGGTTCTACGATGTGTAGTAAAAAAAATTAGATAAAAACTAGTGTAGTTGATGGAACTTAAGAATTATTAAATTTTGATTTAAAGTTAATTTTTCTTACTTTTACCTATAAATCTATGACACTCTGTATATAACGATATAATATTAAAGATTTCATTAGAATAAAAATTTGAAATCTTTCTCATAGATTAAATTATGATTTTTCAGAGGAATGCGGAGCCCTGGAATCGGTAAAGGCGGCGTCGGAACTGATAAGTCCAGTCAGTGGGAAAGTCATAGAGAAAAATGAGGCGGTCGAAAGTAAACCCAGCTTAATTAATAAATCTTGTTACAAAGACGGTTGGTTGTTCAAAGTAGAATTAAGCAATCCAGACGAAACTAAGAGTCTAATGAATGAGGAAGCCTATAATGTATTCTTAAAGTCAGAAACGCATTAAATTTGATGGACATGCTAGGAAAAATTTGTTTAACGTAGAGTTTGAATCAAGTTACCACTTGTAATATCAAAGGATGATATTCATAGTCAATTCTTATATTTAAGATCGTCTTAAGATTACATTTTAACCAAAAAGATAATTATATAAGCTTACTTATAATCTTAAATATAAGAATAGATTATGAATTCCAATTCAAAGACTGTATTTTCTGCTTAAAGATATTATTTGATATTTTAATGATCATTGTTCACATATTTTATTGTAATTGTTCGTAAAATATGTTAATTAGATATGATATGATATTAATATTTGAACAAAAATTAATTTTAACGAAATTTGATATAAACTGCAAAAAAATGTTGAATGACATCTTTTGTTTTATTGTACATTAATAATAACTGATACTAAATTCAAAGTGTATTGCGTATTTATTTTAAATATATCATTGCATTCTATGGGAAATAATATTCTAGTTGCATCTTGGTCACGTTAAGAGTAATCACAACAGAAATCACTTCATTTGATAATTTCAATACTATAAATAATAAAAACGTTAATTTATGAAATATGAAAAAATTAATACATCAAAACAAACATTTAATGATATTTTAATACATATTTGGTTTAAGTGTATATATCTAATTATTTTTTTTAATAATAAAGCTATGAAAGAATTTTCAAATAAAAATTGTTCTGTTTATGAAAATTTATATAACTTAAATGAAAATTTGATATTTTTCTTAAATATTTTTGTAACACTTTTGTTTTTTTAAATACTTTATTACAGTTTATTTTATGACAGTTTTATAAAGTATTTTATGACAAATTCAATAACGTGCAATGAAGCGTGATTTTCAGTTATCGTTTATGAGACGTATCATTTATGCAGCTTTTAAGTATGATTGGAAAAACAAAATATTACTAATAAAAGACTATTTATTAATCTTTGATTCATCATATTCAAAAAACACAAATAATATTTCATGAAGAAAAGTATCAAAAATCGCATTTTATTGAATTTGTTAAAAAATATCTTACAAAACTGTAAAATATTGTACATATTGTATATATTTAAAAAAAAACTAGCACTCGCTTAAAGATACTTATAAACACAATAATTTTTAATAATTTTTATTTGAAAAATACTTTCATAATTATATTATTTAAAAAAATAACTGTAAAAAAAGTGTAATAAATGCATACACTTAAATCAAACACTCTTATGATCTTAATTATCCATGTTATCCACAGAATGATATCGCGAATTATTTATTGCAAAATTAAAACAAGTTATTAATGTTAACACATCACAAAATGTAATTTGACATAGAGATTTTGATGTGCAAAATATTGTATTTTAGCACAAGCATCAAAAATTGATATTGATTGCGATAGTTGCAATAACTTTATTAGTCACTGTGCAATGTTTTTTACTTCGTATTTTTTACAAAGCAAACAAATATTGTGGTATAAGTATATGTTGTTTGATACATGAATAACAGCATTCGAGTTACAAATTATGATAGTACTCTCTTTTTTTCTTTTTCCGAGCGCACAAGATGGAGCGTACGAGAAGTTGAAATTTTGTAATAATTATATATATCAATAAGAATGATTGAATAATTGCAAGATATTACTTTCGAATGTCGAATAAAATACTATACTGATTAATATTATAGTATTTTCAATTCTTTTCTCCCGAATATTTTGTAATCTGGTAACAATCCTAAAATTCCAAAATGAGGAAAATAATATCACTGTGGGTTTCAATCAATATAATATATAAAAAATAGCACTGTTAGAGCTCTCTAAAAAGGAACAATTATCTGTTAATAATAAAGATATATTTACAATCAATTAATTTTTCTACATAATTTACAATTGCCAACTGCTAATGGCAGTGTTAACAACGCATTATAGTTCTTCCTTTTAACTTTATTCCAACGATTTATTGGATCAAAAAATCACATCGATATTAAATTAGATCATTTGCCAATCATAATTGGTAACTGTACATATTTAATATAAAAAAATATACACAACGCTGTAATTGTATTTACTAATTACAATGGTTAATAAACGTGGTGTAACAGATCAAATCGTTAATCGGGATGAATGTAGATATAGAATGAAACACATTTAGAGTATGATATATTAATATGTTAGAAAATCGTTTTTTTTTAGAAAGATATTTAAAAAGTAAGTTTTGGGATTTCGAAAAGAACATGCGGCATCTATAATATCTGACGCCATTTTTGAGTAACAATAATTATTCTTCTCCAATAATATAATTCTCCTCATTTAAATGAATTTTTATATTGCGTATATACCAAGTATTTTCATTAATATAACAATATTTTTACTATTATATTAATAGAAATGTAAATGCTTCAGAAATGTGAATCTTGCACGCTATCTGTAATTTTCTTATTTTACGTGTATATTCATCATAAGCTTATATTATGATTATCACATGATTGTAGAATTTTCAAATGTTATGATAGGCGCAAAATTATATTAATGTTAAGTCATATGAATTTCCCTTGATCTCGATCTTGATCAAAAAGTTCATTATGAAAAATAATGTTTCTTTAAGAAAAGAAATGTTTTTATCATTGACTGAAAAATGACATATTTATCAGATAAAATTATTATTGCCGTTAAATATCCCTTTCAAGGTTTATATCCCTTCCAAAATTTATAGAAAATGTCTCTCCCTAAAATTAAAAGATAAAAGAGATTAATGTATCACGCTTTATAATGTGTTTCACTCTATATGCTCTATATATAAAGATAATTAATTTAGAACTATCATTTTTTTCTTTTTTAGAAGAGTTTTTTCTCATTAACACATATGGTGTTTGCGATCAATACGACTTGTTCCAAAATTATCAGACCGACACGTTCAGAGCGGGAGGTGGAAAAAAATGATACAATAAATAAACAGTAGCGTGAACTTGTCTTACCCAAACAGCAATGCATGATTTAAAGCGATATTTTTCAATTATGAGGCAGCAGTAACTAATATATGGTAAACGATAGAAGTATGAACTAATTTGCAGAAAATACAATGGTAATAATTAATTAAGACCTAATAATCTGAACATACAATGGGTACGATACTTTTAACAAGTATTACATCGTAGCTTCTTAACGTGTAAGTATACATACTACACGAATTAAAAATATTTGTTTATGCACGTTACATTCATTCATTCCATTCAAATTGCTATCTGGGCGTCTATTCTGAGGTATGTGGTTACTAAAAATGTAAAAATATAAAAACTTAATACACAGATATGAAGAGGTAGTCATTCGTGTCGTGAGTTAAATAAAAATATTTTGTTTTTTTTTCTCAAAAAAGCACTATTAAAAATGAGAACAATGATAAGCCTAGGCTGGTTCCGCGCGCCGTTCGTGCTTAACGTGAAGAACCGGACGATTTGAAAATTTGGGAACATTAGCATATTCTATATCGTGTGTAAAGTCAAACTTGACGCGGTGGACACAAATCTTTACTCACGCGATAAGTACATGTGGTGCCCTCGGGAAAATATTGAATCGTAATTGGTAATAATATTCGTTACCGTTCCTCTTGATTTGATTTAACACTCGATTCTTAATCTAACGTGAAACGTCAAGTTTCCGCTTCTCCAACAAGCACTTTACACATCTAATTATATATTGAAAGATATCGGTGGAAAAAGTGAAAATAGTAAAATAGCATTTTTTTTGCAGCAGGTACGTGTTTGATACGTGAATAAAAACAAGAGGAGTCGCGCAACGGATAACATTACCAATCTACCAGTGCGAGGAAAGATTTCTGTCTTGATTGTCATGTTTAAACTTTGCATCTGAGATAATATGTAATTTCCAATGGCTTCGAATACCACACAGGTGTCGAAAAGACAAACTTTCACAGCACTGAAGAATTTCTGACTATTGGCTAAATAATAATAATAGCAATAATTAATAATAATAATAATAATAATATTTAATAATAATAGTCTATTAGTGAAAAATTACTATTTTCGATCGCTATCTTAACATTTACTAAACGTTTCTCTATTTAACAACTGCAATATGATTAATATTACCTTATGCGTTTAGAATTAATTGCTAGACAATATAGGACCACATAAACCTTGCTCCAATTATTTTTTTATTTCTTAAACAAAATCTTTATTATGATACAACATACAATAGTAAAATATCGCAATTTGTAGTTATTCCTTTCCGCCACCTATTTGAAAAGTAATAAAGAAAGATACATGAATAAGAGCCTAAAATTAGTGAAGACATTAAGTAGCTAATGATTTTTCCTCAAGTAAGCAACAGAAATATATTTATTTCGTTTCATTATTCAACTATACACAAAATATTGTAATTACATATTTAACATGATCCGTACTTTACAACGTAATTGGAATGTGTTAACTAGTATTTACAATATAGTAGCCCCGCTGTGTGCAAGTGTGACAAAAATGCAGATTTGTTTCTTTATAGGAAATTCTAAGGATGCCCAGGTGGCCGTGCGACAAACACATATGTATATCACATGCAAGTTCATTGTCATTCAAGTATGCCCATTGAATCCCTTGCAGAAGCACGATTGATCTGGAGAGAGAATTCGATTCTCTTTTAGCAGTACGATATATTTCGTTCGAGTGAGAGCAAGGCTTCAGTGTGGTATGCTTAAAAATAAATTCGCTTCTAAGTATTAGAAAAATAGCTTTACTTATTTAGACAAAAGTTGCCTGCCCTTTGACCAATATTTTTTGTTAACCACCCTTTGTACTGTTTTCAAGGCATCTTGCTTACTGTTTCCCTGCGCTTATACCCATTAACAGGGGTAATTCTTCACGGATACATCTCTAAAACTTCAACATCAAATATAGAAAATATATGTCATTGTGTTTATATATTTAGATACACTTTATAATACATATACTATGTATATATATATGTAAAGTATGTATGTCTATACTTGATTTGTATGCATAGGTATTTCATGAACCAGGGCCCCTTTACTTGGTCCGATACCTTAGCAGCGTTTTAGCTCTTAATAGATACTTTGAGGTCCACTCTGTCTCACGATTAGGGGCGTTAATAGGACTGCGTGTGTATATGTGTTTTGTTGTGTGTGTGTGTGTGTGTGTGTGTGTGTACGCGCATATGCATACATATATGTGATAACGGACTTGTTTCTTATTCGATGGCAAAGATTACCAAGTAAAATCGATTGTTTCATTTCCTCTTGGCGTGAAGCATCTCCATGAGAAGTGTTTGTGTCGGCGCACCTCCGTTACAATGTTTCTGATAAAGATGCTCTTCCCCCTTGGTTGCCACCTCATGAATGTCCGGTAATACTGCTAACAACTTGTGAAATTTATCCTAAACAGATGAAAAATAAAGATAATTAAATATCTGGCTAACCTGCTTTAGATAAAGTATATATGAGGGAGCATTTCGCAATAAAACGCACCGGTATAGATGGATAACTCGTTAATGTGTATTCCATAAGCGTATGTTGAACCTGCTCGTGACCCTCTTGCACATGCTTCTTGTTTACTAGTCCACGGACATCTGCAGCAAATTAAATATATGCATTTATGCAAGGGATGTGTACACAGGTTTGACTTGAGTATTACTGGAATGTGAAATGAGATTACTTAAAAATGGAACAGAGAATAAATAATATGGTGTAATAAATTTGACATTCAAAGTAGCATAATGTAATAAATCTTATCGTCTTTGCAATGTGATCTTTATGTCATATATTTTAAAAGAACTGTGTAAAATGCAACGTATGTATGTATATAACAT